TGAACTAAAAGTTGAAGATGCTGCAAAAGACACAAGCCCAACAGTGAAACATGTCCATCTAGCCTGTTTACTCAGAAAAACAATGGGAAAGTAGAACAGTGGAAGGGAAAAACGTGTTCTGTCTGAACAGCCCCTTATAGGCAATACTGCAAAAGATGCTAAACGTGATCGCAGAGGTCAAACACATCCATCTAGCTCTTGTTTACATAGACCAACACTGAAAGAGCAGCACAGTCGAATAAAAAGTGGTGCTCAACCCTGAAAAGAATACCTGCAAATAGTGTTGAACCTTAGCTTAGCACACAGTCACATCTCACTGGGGGTCCTGAAAATATCATTAAGATAACAACCAAGAGGTGGACATTCATCTGTTGACCAGTTCTCGAAGTGTCCCAGCGACCAAATTTCCACATCTAATCTATTTTCCAATGGGGAATGAGAAGAATCCTTCCCCTCGCTTCAGGTGAGCGTGTGGGTATGTATAAGCAAAGGTATGCTTGCAATCGCAGGCTGAAAGGCCGAGGGATTACATTGTGAAATGGTGGGAGCCAGCGGAGGTTATCACGGGCCGGATCAGGTCATCTCTCTCTTGCAAAATAGACGGTCAGAGAGCACAGACTGACAATCCCAGAGAAAACAGAACTGTGTACTAGTCAATTTTGAATAACAGATAAATAGCTGCAGACTACACAGTCCACAGTGTTTGGCAGGAAAGATGTCCCTGAGGAGTGATGAGTTGCACGATAATACATTTCAATGGATGAAAATTACTGTGTAGATTTAACTCAATAGATTTAGCTGCCCTCTTCCTGATACACTGATCGCAGCCGTTAACAGAAAGTACAATTATTGTTATTCACCTTGCAGCATCTTCAGGACTACGTCAACGATGTGTTGATCTGTAGCATCACGACCCTGGAAAGCCAAATCATAAAAATGAGGAAAACACACTTAAAGAGAAAATTCAAAATATTTTCTGCAAGTGTTTTTCTATTGTGCTGAGCTCTGCATGCTATATTGCAACCTGTCTGGCTGGTGTAACACTTTGGCTTTGTTGTATTGGAGGCAAAAAAATGCTGAACAGAATTGTTTGTTGGGTAATGTAGGTTGGGAATTCTGTGCTGGAAATTGTTCTTGAGGTTTTGTTGATGCCGTTCAACACTCACAGACGGTCCTTGTATTCCTGGCATCCCTGGAACTCCTCTTTCTCCATGCAGGCCACGTGAACCAGGTAAGCCTGAAGGACCCTGGTCTCCTGGTTTACCGGGATCTCCAGTAGGGCCGTTGTGCCCTGGATCACCAGTCACACCTAGCTGTTGATAGAGGAAGCAGTAATTAAGGAAATATAGAAACTGGGATGTTCAGTATTGTTTTATAGGATGATGCTGAAGTTAAATCAATCATTACCCTAAAGGTGAAATATGTCATTTCTTTGCCACTAGTGCTACAAATTGAAATAGCAAAAATAATGAAAATATGAGTGATACTCCCATTTTTCCCGTTTTTGCAAAATGTTACAAAGCCAATATTAATTACAAAGCAGATAATAACAATTATTAATAAAAAAACTTTTTGCACAATTTACAGTCAAGAAAAAAATAATTAGTCTGGTAGCACAAACCTTTTTGCATGCCAAAGTTTTGGGCAGAAGAATAATAAGTCAAGCTCATATGGATGATTGTTCCCAAACAGGTTTCCTGAACATGCCCCAATAATCAAGTGTTATTTTAGCATTATTAAAATACTGTTAATATGCTTATTTTGTTAATATACTTAATAAAAAATATTTAATATTTAATTAATAAATAATAATTTTATTGTTAACTATATTTGTTAATATTTTGAATTACCTTTTTAATTTTTCAGCTTTTATTTTGTTTTTAGTTTACGTTTTAATAATTTCTATGTGCTTTTGTCATTTTTATTAGTTCAGTACTTCTATTTAGATTGCTTATATTTTATTTCAGTTTTAGTTTGAGTAATTTAGGATTTTGACTTATTTCAGTTAGTTGCCAAGGCAACATTTCATATTTTCATATGAAGTTTTTTAAGTCAGTATTTTTTCATGTAATTATATTTTATTTGATTTCAGCTTGATTTCATTTAAAGAAAATAATAAATGCCCATAAACGCCCCATTCACAGTCTTCCATCTGTAGGACAAAAAAAGTAGTCCTGCCCATAACTCACACCAATGACTGGGGCAAAAGTTGACACGTCAGAATGGCTTGTTTAAATGTGCTCATAAAACTGAGACAGCATAAAGTATTCTAAAATAAAATAAAAACGGACACAATTCACCTTTGCCATGTCCTTCAGCGTTGTAAAACAAACTACAAAAGCTGAATCTAACTAAATTATGTAATTCACCTATAACATTATCTGTGCTCTTCACACTGTCCTTACCTGTCCCTTAGGTCCGGGCTCCCCAGATTGTCCCTGTTAGACGGAGAGACGCAATTTCAAGATGAACAGAAGTCCTCTGGAACAAATCTATTAAATAAATGTACCAGACTACAGCCTTATTTACCTTCTCTCCTTTCTCTCCAGCCAATCCCTCTACACCAGGATCACCCTGTGAAAGAAGCAGGTGAGATCCATCAATGTCTCCTTCAGTCGTTACCTTTTATGATGTGGACTGTGATGTATGGTTTCTATTTCACTCCATAAATACGTGTACGCATTTATCTGAGGGTGTACTCACAATGTCTCCCTTTGATCCCACTTTGCCTTGGAATCCCTGTAAGGAGATGCAATTGTACATCAGACATCTCTCAAGTGTCAGCCCTAATGGGTGAGGCACAGGGAATTTATTGTTGGTAATATCTTACTTTACCGTAAACTCTCCGAGCACATTAAATCAACTGGCTTTTACTGCCAATATTCAATGTATTAAACAGCAAGGATATTATAGATTAAAGGACAACAATCATTAAAGTGTCCATAAGAGGATATTTCATACTGAATTGAGGGGCATTATTTGGAAACATGGACATGAATTATCTAAGTGCATATATGTCCTCTAGTGAAAAGAGTCAAATCATGAGGGAAGACTGCCCCCATGTGGTCAAACCTCATCACTCTGTCAGTTTAAACAGGAAGACAGTTAATTTACTCTTAATTACTGTTGATATGGTCACAAACCTTTTCACCTTTAGTTCCAGGTAAACCCTGAGCACCTGGGATGCCCATGGGTCCCCTCTCTCCCTTACTGCCCTGCAGGTACAATAGAGAAGACAAGTGAAGGATTGAAATAGTACACATATATACACATATATATGGATCCCACATTTTTCTAAGCAATGAATTCTCATCAGTTTTTCATTACATTTATTTATATACATACATATACTGTGTGTGTGTGTGTGTGTGTGTGTGTGTGTGTGTTGATAGGAACTTTTTTTTATAGAATATTGCATTTTTTTGTATAATGCATTATAAAGGTATTCATAATCCATGTTGCAGAGCATTATATCTTTTCATAAATAATTGTAATAATTGTAATCAAAATAAAAATGTATTCCTATTTGTGGATTCCTTACTACATCTGAAATTGTATGTTGTGTTTTATTGCATTATGCTTTCTAAAGGGTGTAATCATAAAAAGATAAGTATTATAATTGTATTTTAACTGTGCAATTATTCATAGGATCATACAAGTGCATTACAAGGCATTATTAATGCATAAAAAATACTGTAATAATAATGCATAATATATAAAAATATAATTCATAGATAAAGTCATTGTATATAAAGACTTCCAGTGTTACCAAATATATTATTATTATTACTATTATTATTATTATTATTATTATTATTATAGACACATTTTATAGACTCTATAGATGTTTTTGAAATGTATTTTCGTGTGTAACCAAATGTACAGTTTATTTTTCTATGATTATTTATTTTTGTTTGTTTATCTTTTTTTTTTTTATCTTCCCCAATATTTCCAGGGTTTCTGACCCTGGGAACCCTGATTATAGCAGAAAAAAATAATTATAAATAAATGTCTGAAAAATAAAGAAACTTACAAGCAAGCCAACAATGCCAGGAGGCCCAACTGGTCCTCTTTCACCCCTGTCACCCTATTGGACAAGAACTGAAAAGTTAAGAAAAGAGAGTTTCCTTCAATGTTAATGAAATGATTTGTCAATGAGGATGGCCACTGACCTTTGGTCCTGGGACTCCCTCCATGCCAGGTTCACCTGGAGGACCAGGCTCTCCCTGGGAGAACGAGAAACATAATGAGAAGCCAGAAAAAGCTTTTGGATTATGCATAAATCTGTCCTTGAATGATTTGACGTACTTGAGGTCCTGGAAGACCTTGCATTCCCATAAAGCCTCGGGGTCCTGTCTCACCCTAAATTTAAAAGGGAACACATACATTGCTGAAAGGGTGGAATGAAGCACTAATGGATAGTATAGTATCAACAGACATCCAAAAACTAGTATGGTTCCACAAAAACCACGTAGGCATTCATAAAATAACTGCATGATCTCACCATAACTCCAATTTCACCCTTGGCTCCAGGCATACCAGGTAACCCCTAAAAAAATACGAAGAATTGCATGAAGAATGAATGTAGTGACCCCTGCAGACCTCCGTGGAGAGCTTTATATCCGTCCTCTACTCTGTGCTGATATCAGAACAAGGCTGCAATAACTCATCCTGTTAGTGAGGGTGCCTGTATTATGGCTTGCACAGGTACGTTGTTATGTTTTGTATCATAACCAGCATAATCCATTACCCCAAGTCACCAGGAGAGTCATGTTTGATGATGATGATGAATAGTAAATAGCAGGAGCAATTTCAAGGTGGTTTAGGCTCCAAAATAGTCAGGGCAAGAATGTCACACTGGGACTTTAGGGAGAAAATACACTAAACTTTTACTTTTTTATCTTTAATCACCCTCATTTAACAAAGGGAACACAATGGACAGATGTGAGGAAGATGGGAAAGGATTCCTCGCACATCTAATGCAGATGCTTATATTATACTGAAAAGATAATGAAGTATGAAATTCTACTTACAGGGTCTCCCTGGAGACCAGAACCTCCAGGTCTTCCATTTTGTCCCGTAGCACCCTGACAAAAAAAAAAAAGTGGAGGATAGTGCAGCATTCATGAATTTCATATTTTTATAATGTTTTTGAATTTATTATCATCATCATCATTTTATTAGATAGATAGATAAAACAGTTTTTGGGGTCTTTTTTTCATTTATTTTAATTGTAAGTAGGCATATAATAACCAGGATCATGAACAGTTAAATAGTCATTACTGATAAAAAAAATAAAATAAACCCCTTCAGGATGAAATAAGGCTTGCTCACTCTGTCTGAGTGTGCATTATACTTTACATATGTCATGTGTCTTCTTGAATAATGATGGCTGCTTTTGGAATTGATTTAAGAGCTGAAAAAGAGCCATCCATACCTTTATTCCTGGGATGCCAGGAGTACCATCTTTTCCATCAATTCCTGGAAGACCCTGACAATGCACATTAATCAAAAGATTAAGAGCATAAGTTTAGGGGGGCGTGTTTTCAATTGCATTCAAATTAGCCAGCTTCTTTCTTACGTTCTCTCCCTTTTTTCCGACAACTCCCTGAGGCCCTCGTATACCACTCTCTCCCTACAAGAACAACAGCAAGAATTAATATATAAATTGATGAAAAGTTTGATAAATGAACATGTAGAAGGACAAATTAATGATGAAATGAATAGATGTGAATAATATTACTAATACTTACCATGTCGCCTTTGTCACCAGACTCTCCAGGTGGTCCTTGGGGTCCCTCTTCACCCTGCATTGCGCAGTAAGATTATAATTTGCATGTATTTTTTGTGAGTTATTAAAATGAAATCTATTCAAACAAGACTTGCAGACTCACAGGGCGTCCAGGGATGCCGATCGGTCCTGAAATTCCTTTATAACCACGTGGTCCCTGTCACAGAGGTTGTGAATCACTTTTAAGTTTTTATAGAAGTCATAAAGTCATAAAAATTCAGTCTGTGGAGATGTGCTGTCCTACAAATGCAATTGAAGCTGTGCAATGCTTGTTTACATTCCACTGGGTTTTGTTCAGAATATAATAAAACACATGTATGCAAATCAACCCGTTCGTACAATTCTGCGGGAAGCTAAAATAAGCTATATGCACTTATATTTAAAACAGCCTGGCAAAATGAATGTCTCATCTCACACACAAAGACTGTGTAATGAAATTAGCCACATATTTAATGGACTAAATCCACCCACCCTCAGTTGTAGATATGCTAAATGTGTATTATTTATAGTCATGTCCTCCTTTCCGGTTCCCCTCTGTTATTTTATTATTATTTATACACTGTGATAGAATTTATTAACATTTTGAATTAGCTTTTAATTGTTATATTTTCAGCCTTTATTTTATTTGAGTTAAGTTTTAATATTAAAATATTTTAATATTTTATCTTTAATTTATTTTAATATCAATTTAAGTTTTACTTCAGCTTAAACTTATTCTTCAGTTAATTGCCAATGCAACATTTATAAAGTTTTTTATAAATGTTTACATTAAGTTTCCTTTTTTATTTCACTTTTTTTAAGTTTATAGGTTTACTTTTAAGTTTCAGTTAACAGTAGTACAACTGATATGATCAACTGCCCTTTATTCCCTCATATATCTCCTCAGACCAGTCAAAATCATATTTTGTGTATCCATAAAGAGATAACAAGTAATATTTTGGGAACTGTGACTCACCGTCTCACCTTTGGGCCCCACCATTCCTGGATACCCTCTCAGACCATGTGGACCCTAAAGTTATTGTGGTAGAGCAGATATTTTATTTCACAGTTGATCTTAGGACCTTTATAAAAGGTACTGCTAAAATGACTTGTCATGATGTAACAGCAACAGAGGCTTAAATGATAAAATAGCCAAAACCAAACCAGAACAGAAATAAATACATTACTGGAGGGCCTGGTATTCCTTGTTCACCGTAGAGCAGATATTTTATTTCACAGTTGATCTTAGGACCTTTATAAAAGGTACTGCTAAAATGACTTGTCATGATGTAACAGCAACAGAGGCTTAAATGATAAAATAGCCAAAACCAAACCAGAACAGAAATAAATACATTACTGGAGGGCCTGGTATTCCTTGTTCACCGGAGATGCCGACTCCACCCTTTGTACCCTAAGGATGAGAATACAAGGATGAAAAAGATACTTACGTTCTGAAGAACAAATAATAACGGCCTTGAGTCTTACTTTTATTTTGGGATATTATGTGGTTTATCACTTTGATATTGTGGCTAAAATAATTTTTAATATATTTGACAATTTTGGTAATGCACTTCAGATGTGTGTATTCTGCATTTGGCAGTCAATCTTAAAGTCAACACCCAAAGTCTTACAACTTGAGCTTGGACAGTCGTGCTCTGCATTATGGGTAAATCCTCTCTGTCCCTGTAGTCCATTCTAATGTCCTTGTGGGGTTCATTAAGTCTGATTAATTCACAGCGCAGTAGCTTCTCAGTACCTGCCAGCCCCCTTTTTCCTTTCATCTGGGTCAGTGTGTTCAGTCTGTGACTCACACTCAGATTAGAGGCAGTTATATGCCTTGAGGGGCTTCATTAACACATAATCCTGCTCTGCTGAGAGATGTTGAGTTTTGGGTGAGATATTGGGGCACCTCAAAGCATGATCTGGATGCTTAATAATAAACATTTTTTATTTAACTTTACCAACCAATCAGTATGTTTGTTGTTCTCTGCATTTTGCACATTATAAGAGATTTATGAAGTTTAAAGTTGTAAGGGGACGTCTTTCGCGTCATTTTTTCATTCAGAAGAGTGCTCACATGCGCCCCTCTGTGGTTACAAAGTGTACACACCATAACTTGAATAGAGCAATCGTAATGTTTTAGCAGACTAACAAAATAACAAATTAATGTACAAATGTACATTTTTAATTTACATATTATTGTTATTGTTATTATTATTATTATTATTTTTAATGTTGTTGTGGTTGTGGTGGTAACACTTATACACTACTATAAGGTTCCATTAGTTCACATTAGTTAATGTACTGACTAATATTAACCAATAATGAGCATTACATTTGTTACAGTATTTATTAATACTTGTTAATGTTAGTTAATAAAATTATAACTTTTCATTGTTTGTTCATGTTAGCTCAGGTTAATCAAATAATATTAACCAATGCAACTTTTGTTTTTAATAATGTTAATGTTAAAATTACATTAAATAAAATGAATGCTTTAGAAGAATATTGATAGCAATATTACGAAATGGAACATTATTGTAAGTGTTATTGTTATTATTAGTAGTAGTATTGTGTGTGTGTGTGTGTGTGTGTGTGTGTGTGTGTGTGTATATATATACTGTATATATATATATATAATGTGTGTGCGTGTGTGTGTGTGTGTGTGTGTGTGCGTGTTTATGTGGTTTATGAGGACACAAATGTGTATAATAACATGGGTATGACATAGGTATTACAATGAGAAGGTGATTTATGAGGACATTTTCAGTGTCCCTGTAATTTAAAAGGCTTATAAATTATTCAGAATGAGGTTTTTTTTTTGAAAATCTAAAAATGCACAAAGTTTCCTGTGAGGGGTAGGTTTAGGGGTAGGGTTGGTGTAGGGCAATAGAAAATACGGTTTGTACAGTATAAAAACCATTACGCCTATGGAGAGTCCCCATAAACCATAAAAACAAACCTGC